ACTCGAAGTGTGTGAGTAACGTACTATAAGAAACTTGTGCTCTGATACCAATCTGTTACGACCCCATTCCGCCCCTAGTAGAATGGTGACGTGATGGCCAGTAATCCGAGATTACCGAAGGCCAACTTTCAAAATTCTCAAACAATCAGAGTATAAATATATGGGGCTCACAAGTGTGGAAGCAATATATATACAATTCTAATTAGACCATAAGAGCTGTGCATAAGTCAAGTGGAATGACATACATCTTAAGAAGGTTTTACAACTTGGGTACAATAAAATGAAGTACAAAAATACATCTTGACCAAAAGGCTTCTCGAGCCATCATATACAAAATACAATGAAATGCAAGCTAAGAAGCATGATCTTCAAGATGCTACAAAATGCGAATCCAAAACAAGTTGCAAAGCACATCTAGGCGTCGTCGCCGTCCTGCTCATCACCTACATATATATAGAGAGGGGAGCTTGGATACTCAGTGAATGGTATAAGTAATAAAGGGTTTGCATGCATGATATCCGAGATCTTTAACAGAACAATACATAATCATAGCTTGTAACGAAACATGGGATGAATCAAGTTCATCTAACAAATCTTTCAGGCTTCATCAATCAAAGACTTTCAGGGCTTGTGAGTTCAAGGGATGACATTAACAAAGGTTGTGCTACAAATGCTTATAATCCCCTAGCACGTACGGACTTTCAAAGGTTGTGCTACAAATGCTTATAGTCCCCTAGCACGTACGGACTTCCAAAGGTTGTGTTACAAGTGCTTATAGTCCCCTAGCACGTACGGACTTTCAAAGGTTGTGCTACAAATGCTTATAGTCCCCTAGCACGTACGGACTTTCAAAGGTTGTATCAAAACCAAGGCTAATACTTGACGCACAAAATAGGGATAGTCATTTATGCTTAACAAATACTTTTCCAAAACAAGGCAAAGCAAAGCTTTATCAAAACGTTATAACATAGCTTTATTAAAAATACCACTCACATTGTTCTTCAAACGTCGAGGTCACAAGCAAAGATCCAAGGCCTACAAGCACATAACAAATCCCATTGAATGCACTATCAAACAAGCTTTACATGAATACAAATGATCTCGACATTCCTTCAAAACTAAGTCAAACCAAAAACAAAACACCGTTCCTCATCTTGGGAAAACATAATGGGCGCCAACCAGGTCTTGGCCGAGGTCCCACACTTCCTTGCCGAGGTGTGGTCCCGATGGCCACATTCAAGGAAACGAAGTCAGGAAAATCTGGGTTTCCCTTTCTTTGAAGAACATGAATGCAAATAGCATAACTTGTTATTACAAAATCTGGGATTTCATGAGATGGGTTCGAAAACATGGACTTGGGTACCCATACTTGAAGATCTCATGAAGACAAACACGAAGACATGAATCTTGATGCAAGCTTACGGATCAAACAAGGCTTTTATTCAAGAACACATGAATATCACTTTCTCTTTCTAAAACCAAACTTTAAATCAATGCATTGCTTACAAATCGTGCTCGATCATGCAATGCAGCTAGAAGAACAATAAGAACAACAAGAGTAGGTCAAGATTCTATGCTTAAGACATGAATCTAACGGCTCAAGGTGTGAAGATCAAGCTTGGAAATCCAATCCCTTTCTAAGAACTCCTCTTTCTTCTTTCTAGAGCCTCTCTCTCTAAAAGACAAGGAACTGATACAAAATGATGCATTCCTCTCTCTGCTGGCTGATTTAACACTCAGCTTGGACACGTGGCAACAGTTGGTTGGTTCTTCTCAAAAGGTGACTGAGTGAAAAGACAAGACCATGCCAAAGTGTGTTCAACAAGCAAGATGGCATAGGCACTCCGGCAGGTAATGATCTCAGTTAAGAACAAGGCATTGGCAAGTAAGGGAACAATGATCTCGGCTAGGAAGGACAACACTTGGCCTAGCTGTGCCACACCTCGGCCTAGATGTGCCACCCCTCGGTCTAGGTCGCACCAATCCAGGAACAAGATCACTTAGGCGCAAAGGTAACATCTCGGCCTAGATAATACACATCTCGGCCTTGGTGATGAACACCTCAGCCTAGATGATGACATCTCGACAAACATGCCTTGGTGAAGGTGGAGGTCAACCAAAATGGTTCAAGATGGTTCTAGGCTTAAGGTGGCTTCAGCTTGTGTTGACCTAGGCTAAACACACACACCAAACAAGAAACAAAGCATGCAAGTAACACTTATGCAAGACAAATCAAGGTTTTTCAAATGCAACATATCGAGACAAGATCATGTAATATATGCAAGCATGACTAGAGTAAAGTGAGGGTTGTTACACGAGGGTTGCCTACGTATCCTTTTACAAAGAATCAAACTAGCGTAGTTCAGGGACAGAATGCAAATGCCATGCTCGAAATACTTTTGAAAAGGTGGGCTTACATGGGGCACTACCATGATTTGTTAATTGGGCTTATGTGTACCACACTGCCGATGCTTTCAAAAGCTTGATGATGCGAACACTACAAAAGGTGGTGAGATGGAACAACAGATAAAGTTACAAATATGGCAAAAGAAATAGGAGGGCCTCATGCAAATAACATGCAAAGCCAGCTAACAACTGCAGAAAATATGAAGAACAATGCACTACAACACATACAAACATGCTCCACATGAGTAAAAGAAATGCAACACCCACTCATGCCATGGCACGAGAAAGAAAGAAAAAGAATGGTCGCAACCAAAGTCACATATGATCGGCAATCATAGCAACAAGGAACTCTAAAACACACTTCAAACATGCCGCAACATGAAGGAAGAAAAGATGGTGTTAATAGCCAACCCGCACAAGTGGGTGGTATTAACTGAGGGTGGTGTTAACCACCAACCTGCGTAGGGGCAGTATTAACTGAGGGTGGTGTTAACCGCTGTAGACACCCCATTTTGACCGCCCTTAAGAATTGGGCACTTCACTCTAAGCACTCGATGATGAAATGTTACGCTGTACAATCGTTTGAATCTTTAGCAAAATGATTCAGTTTTGAGCTTCAAAACCTATACCTTGCACCCCCTTTTGGACCAAAACCTTATTTTTTCTAGCCCAACTACTCAGAGAATAGTTGGCCAGCAAATGGCTGGCAGACCATTTTGATTGGGCCAGCTGGCCATGTTCAGCGTGATAGATATTTTGACAGTTGACAGTTGCCAGTTGCTACCATGCACATGCTTTGGACTAGCTGTCCCTTTGCAGATATTGCCGATGTGAGAAGCTGTTTTTCTATAAATACAACACCCCCTCATGGTTTAGGGTTAGAGAAAATCCTCCAAGAGTCTATAGCTTTTCCAACACACTTCCCTTCTCTCTTGCAATATACATACACCATAAATACACCATACAAGCTTGAACTTGAAGCTTTTGCTGAGATTTTCTAATACAATTTTAGCTCCTTGAGCAATGATATCTTCAATTGTTCTTATTTGAAACAATATTCAAAATTCACGATCAAATGTGTCACAATTAAAAACTCAGGGGTTAAAGTGACACAAGTCTCAAATTATCGGAATCGTTAGTGTAATTCGTCTTGAATTTATGAATCGAACTAAACCATGAAACTTGAAAAATGAATCAAAATTGAAACAACCAAAAACTATTCAGTTTCTGTTAAGTTCCACAACTCTAAATTAAGAACTTCATCACTATATTTAGGATATGTAATTTAATAAATATTAATTCCTATACAAGCATTCCAAAAATTTCATAAACATACTTAAATTTTTTGAATATTCTCCAAATTATTTTTTATAAAATGTGCGAAGATAAAAAAAAAAATTATTCATATTACTTATTAATTTCTATGAAAATAAAATCAATAATGTTTATTTTTTGAGACAAAACCTTTGATCTCAAAAAGTTAGCAATTAATCACTAAATGTCTAATTTTGTCATTAAAAATAGAATAATAACACTTCTAGGGACAAAAATATTTAATCTCTAAAATGTTATTTTGTCCTTAAATTCTTATATCTAAAACTTTAATTTCTTGTAGTGATAAAAACACTAAATTAAAAAATAATTTTAAAAAAGTTGAATGGATAGGTGTGATATGAAATTATTTTCTGAAATGCATTAGAGGAAGCTAATAGTGACGTGAATTTCACGTCAAGAGGAAGAATCACATGAATTGCATTAGAGTTAGTTACATTTTCATGGATGAACCCTTACGTTGTGTTTGATTGAGAGATTTGAGAAAGAATTTAGAAAAAAAAAAAAAAAAAGTATGTGAAATGTAAGTATATTTTATTTACATTTCACTTACTTTTTCTTTTATCCTTTCCAAATTCCCCAATCGAACACAGCGTTAACTATTTAGTTTGGAATAGTTTTTTGAAAATTGGATTTTTAATTTTTATTTTTTTAGTTCTTTTTTTTTAAATATTAAATATTTTTTATTTTTAGATGCATATAACCTAAATACAAAAGAATATATATTTTCATATTTTTTTGTATTTATCTAGTTTTTTTTTATATATATTTTTTCAGAAATATTATACCTTTTAAGTGTGTCTAAATTATGTGTATTTGAAGAGAAAAAAAAAAGTTTAAAATTTTAAAAAAAATTCATAAAAATACAAAATACAAAAAATAAAAAACTATAATTTTCAACAATCTATATATATATATATATATTACGGTCTATCCACAATAAAAATGAAAGCTACATTCGTAAAGCCAACTCTCATTCCAAATGAACTATATAATGTATAATAGAAAATGATGCATGCTTATCCAAACTCAAATTTCATTCCTTAGCTAGTCACTAATACTTTGATGGAGATATAAGTGAGAAAGATCAAAGATTGTAACATTTTCCTTTGGATTGTTACACAAAAGTCATTTAAAATATCTCCCCAAATTGACCAGCCAAGGTCTGGCCAGGAAAAACGCACTATATATAGCGCGAATAACATTCGATATTAAGTCACAAATACACCGAATACTAAATTGTGCTGTGTTGCATGTTTATCATGGGTTCATCATCCATGAGAATTGCAGCAATTGTTTTTTACCTTTGCTTTCTCACCTTTGCAACATTTCATAATTGCTTTTGCAATGGAAACTCCAATACCATTTGCAACGAAACCGAGAAGCAAGCCCTTCTAAAATTCAAGCAAGATCTTAAAGACCCTTCCAACCGGTTGTCCTCTTGGGCTGGTGACAACTGTTGTCAATGGTCCGGAGTTGTCTGCGACAACTTCACTGGCCATGTCCATGAGATCCACCTTCATAATGCTGATTGTCATTTTAATGGAAATGTATTTGAATATGAAGCTTTTTTTCGTGATTGGCCATTTGCATATGAAGCTTGCTGGAGTTATCACCCGTTAGGAGGTAAAATAAATCATTCTTTGCTCGATTTGAAGCACCTCCGTTATCTGGACTTGAGCGGGAATAATTTTGGAGGGATTCGCATTCCTAGCTTCATTGGCTCTATTGGAAGTCTGAGGTATCTCGATCTGTCATATGCGGGATTTAGCAAAGCCATTCCTCATCAACTAGGAAATCTCACCATGATACGTTATCTGGACTTGAGCTTCAATTATCTTTATCTTCAAGGTACTTTTTCTGGAACTGTACAACAGTTACGTGGTGATAATTTACACTGGGTTTCAGGTCTTCTTTCATTACAACACCTTGATATGTCAGGGGTAAACCTTAGCAAAGCAGTGGATTGGACAGAGGTGATAAGCACGCTTCCTTCTTTGGTAGAATTACACTTACGTGGTTGTGATCTCAAATATTCTTCTCCTTCAACTACCATTAACTTTACATCACTACATATCCTCGACCTTTCTGGTAACAATTTTGCATCGTTTATACCTAAGTGGATTTTTAGTTTGAATCATCTAGTTTCCCTAGATATCAGTAGTTGTTATGGCCCAATTCCCAATGGTATTCAAAACATGACTTCTCTCAAAATGTTTTATGCTGCTGGAAATAATCTGAATTCATCATTGCCCAAGGGGTTGTTTAGCCTCAAAGACCTTCTTGTTCTGGACTTAGGTTACAATAAGTTTCAGGGACCAATTTCAATTGGCCTTCTAAACATGACTAGTCTTAGAGATCTAGATTTATCCTATAATTTTTTCACTTCCTTGCCAAATGGGTTGTTGTCTAGTCTTAGCCGTCTCGAGTTGGTCATTCTCAAGGGCAATCTCTTGCATGGTGTAAACTCAGGAGCCATAGGAAACGTGACTTCCCTCATTAGCCTTGACTTGTCTAACAATTTTTTCACTTCCTTGCCAAATGGGTTGTTGTCTAGTCTTAGCCGTCTCGAGTTGGTCATTCTCAAGGGCAATCTCTTGCATGGTGTAAACTCAGGAGCCATAGGAAACGTGACTTCCCTCATTAGCCTTGACTTGTCTAACAATTTTTTCACTTCCTTGCCAAATGGGTTGTTGTCTAGTCTTAGCCGTCTCGAGTTGGTCATTCTCAAGGGCAATCTCTTGCATGGTGTAAACTCAGGAGCCATAGGAAACGTGACTTCCCTCATTAGCCTTGACTTGTCTAACAATTTTTTCACTTCCTTGCCAAATGGGTTGTTGTCTAGTCTTAGCCGTCTCGAGTTGGTCATTCTCAAGGGCAATCTCTTGCATGGTGTAAACTCAGGAGCCATAGGAAACGTGACTTCCCTCATTAGCCTTGACTTGTCTAACAATTTTTTCACTTCCTTGCCAAATGGGTTGTTGTCTAGTCTTAGCCGTCTCGAGTTGGTCATTCTCAAGGGCAATCTCTTGCATGGTGTAAACTCAGGAGCCATAGGAAACGTGACTTCCCTCATTAGCCTTGACTTGTCTAACAATTTTTTCACTTCCTTGCCAAATGGGTTGTTGTCTAGTCTTAGCCGTCTCGAGTTGGTCATTCTCAAGGGCAATCTCTTGCATGGTGTAAACTCAGGAGCCATAGGAAACGTGACTTCCCTCATTAGCCTTGACTTGTCTAACAATTTTTTCACTTCCTTGCCAAATGGGTTGTTGTCTAGTCTTAGCCGTCTCGAGTTGGTCATTCTCAAGGGCAATCTCTTGCATGGTGTAAACTCAGGAGCCATAGGAAACGTGACTTCCCTCATTAGCCTTGACTTGTCTAACAATTTTTTCACTTCCTTGCCAAATGGGTTGTTGTCTAGTCTTAGCCGTCTCGAGTTGGTCATTCTCAAGGGCAATCTCTTGCATGGTGTAAACTCAGGAGCCATAGGAAACGTGACTTCCCTCATTAGCCTTGACTTGTCTAACAATTTTTTCACTTCCTTGCCAAATGGGTTGTTGTCTAGTCTTAGCCGTCTCGAGTTGGTCATTCTCAAGGGCAATCTCTTGCATGGTGTAAACTCAGGAGCCATAGCTTCTGCATGAGAAATTGCTAGTAAACACCATAATTACATATCTGCTATCAAGCAGGAGGGTCGGAGTAAGTGTCGGAGTGTTTAAACCCTAATGCATGAGAAATGGCGATTAAACTCCATAATTACATATCTGCCATCTTGCCAAAGGGTCTGAATAAGTGTCCGAGGGTTTCAACCCTAATGCATGATAAATGGCAAGTAAACACCATAATTACATATCTGCCTTCATGCAAGAGGGTCAGAATAAGTGTCCAAGTATTTAAACACTAATGCATGAGAAATGGCAAATAAACACCATAATTATATATCTGCCATTATAGAAGAGGGTCTGTGTAAGTGTCAAAGTGTTTAAACCATAACGCATGTGAAATGGCAAGTAAACGCCATAATTACATATCTGCCATCATGCAAGAGGGTCCGAATAAGTGTCCGAGTGTTTAAACCGTAATGCGTGAGAAATGGCAAGTAAACACCATAATTACATATCTGCCATCATGCAAGAGGGTCCAAATAAGTGTCCGTGCAATATCGTTAGCAACATGCAAAGTAGTGTACTTGAAATGCGTGACAGCGCAAAGCAAGTGGGGAGCATCACAATGCATATGGAAATAGAACTAGGTAAGTGGAGCAAGCGGTCTACGCAGGCGATGAAATTGATCATAAGCATGCGGCCTACGGAGGCAATGGAATTGACAAGTATGTGGTCTATGCAAGCAAAACATGCGGTCTACGCAGTTATTGAAATTAAATATGCGGTCTACGCAATCAAGACATGCGGTCTACGCGGGTAATGAAATCGATAAATAATGCGGTCTACGCAAGCAAAACATGCGGTCTACGCAGGTATTGAAATTAAATATGCGGTCTACGCAATCAAGACATGTCTACGCAGGTGATGAAATTGATAAATCATGCGGTCTACGCAAGCGAAACATGCGGTCTACGCAGGTATTGAAATTAAACATGCGATCTACGCAATCAAAAAATGCGGTCTACACAGGTAATGAAATTAAACATGCGGTCTATGCAATCAAAACATGCGGTCAACGCAAGTAATGAAATTAAACATGCGGTCTACGCAATCAAAACATGCGGTCTACGCAGGTAATGAAATTAAGCATGCGGTCTACGCAAGCAAAACATGCGTTCTACGCAGGTAATGAAATTGATAAATCATGTGGTCTACGCAATCAAAACATGCGGTCTACACAGGTAATGAAAGGATGTACCATTACATAGCATAATTGAAACAATTTGTGGGATTCACAAAGCATGAAAAGGATATGGGGCGGGACATTCTTCGCACGCATCGAGCGTTGCTCGCAGAAATTGTGGCCTGAGGTCAACTCGAAGGTTCACGTTTCAAAGGTATGCTTTCCCGTATTGTGAAGGCGTCCAACAACGTGGTTGACCCGAACAAAGATGGGGAAGGTGCTTTAACCGCAAAGGGCAGTTTCACTGGTATCAATTCTGATACTTTGTTACCTTGTCACTCTGCCAAGTAAAGAATTGAGATGCGGTCTACGCAAGTAAAGAATTGAGATGCGGTCTACGCAAATAAAGAATTAACATGCGGTCTACGCAAGTAAAGAATTGAGATGCGGTCTACGCAAATAAAGAATTAACATGCGGTCTACGCAAGAAAAGAGATGATTATAAACATGCGGTCTACGCAGGTAAAGAATTGAGATGCGGTCTACGCAAATAAAGAATTAACATGCGCTCTACGCAAGTAAAGAGATGATTACAAACATGCGGTCTACGCAGGTAAAGAATTGAGATGCGGTCTACACAAATAAAGAATTAACATGCGGTCTACGCAAGTAAAGAATGAACATGCGGTCTACGCAAATAAAGAATTAACATGCGGTCTACGCCAGTAATGAAATTGAGTTGCATGACAATGCAAAATGCAATGAGATGCGCAAAACAGCGCGACGATTTGAAATGCACAAAACAGTGCGACGGTTTGAAATGCACAAAACAGTGCGATGGCCAGTGTGACACGCACGCCACACGGAATGTAAACGGGCTTAAATGCGCAACAACGCACGTATTCCGGAATGCATGACAATGCATGGAATGGAAATGCAATGATGATGCATGAGAAATGTGCACGACAATGCAAAGGGGTGCGTGTTGCAACGCATGTAACACGTGCATAACAATGCAAATGTGTGGCGCACGATAGCGCGATGTAATGCACCGAAGTAGTGTGATGAACTCGTGCAACACACATGGGGCAACTTTTGAATTCAAAAGGATACAAAAAGGATACACCTTGCATGAATTCGAGTGCCACGCACTGGAGACACGGCCCGCGGTCAAAACAGAGGCCGGTTGAACGTCGGAGATGCACTTCCTTGCACTTTCTTGAGCTATGAAGACCAAAAACAACTCAAATGGCCTAACCAAGGCTGTGGGAACCCCACCGGCCGAAAGGGGAGGCCACCGGCTGGCCATCGGCACAAAAATAATTCTATCGGCACAAAACATTGCCGACCGGCAAACAGTTGCTGCCCAGAAAGCTCTTTTCGAGTAAGTTTAGGGCATGTTCGGCTCTAACTCCCAACCTACGGATCTTAATTATGTTCCGTCAGTTGTCACAATTCCTATTTGTGAAGGTGAAACTATCCGTGTGAGCCACACGGTGGTTTGGGGGCTGTTTTGAATTTTTGCCCCCAAAACGCCCTTTTTCAAGTAAGTTTAATGCATATTCTACTCTCACTCCCAACCTACGTGTCTGAATTACATTATGTCAGTTGTCACAAGTCCTATTTGTCATTAGGGAACTGTCCGTGTGAGCCGCACGGTCGTTCAGGGGCTGTTTTGAATTTTTCCTCCAGAAATGCCCTTTTTTGACTAAGTTTAAGACGTATTCGGCTCTAACTCTTTACCTACGGGTCTGAATTAAATTTTGTCAGTTGTCACAAGTCCTATTTGTCATGGGGAAGCTATCCATTAGAGTTAAATGATCGTTTGGAAGCTGTTTTGAATTTTCACCCTTGAAAAGCTCTTTTTTGAGTAAGTTTAAGGCGTATTCGGTTCTAACTCTCTACCCACGGGTTTGAATTACGTTTCGCCAGTTGTCACAAGTCTTATTTGTCATGAAGAAGCTATCCATGAGAGTCACACGGCGGATCGGGGGCTGCTTTGAATTTTTGCCCCCCAAAAAGCCCTTTTTCGACTAAGTTTAGGGCGTATTCGGCTCTAACTCCCAACCTACGAATCCGGATTATATTCCGTCAGTTGCCACAAGTCCTATTTGTCATGC